CATTATCAAGATCAAAATGATAAAATTAAAAGGCGTTCTTACCTGCTGGACATACTCTTAATGATCTCTTAACAAGGTTACTTCCCGCTATTGACTGAAGGATGCACGAAAAATGGAACACAGAAAGCAAAATACAATTGATATCATAAAGTAACGTACTAAAACCTGCCAAAAGGCATTCAGATGAAAGCAAGAAATAGTGGAAAGATTACTTACCTAAACATCAGCAGATTTTGGATGTAGAAAAAGTTGCAACCGTAACATTCAGCTGCATCAAATTGGAGATACACAACGAACGCGACTATAACCGTCACTCCTCAGATGGCATTCCGCGTACCCCGTGCAAAATTGTCTGTCTAAGTCCCAAAATTGACACCATAACAAAAGAGAGGGATGGTTTAAAAATTTCCTTCTCCAGCCCAAAAATAACTTGGACTAAATCAGCACATTCTTAAAAGCCGCAGGAAGCCAGAGGCGATAGGAATATATTTTTTTTCCAGCCAGCACAGAACCGAAACTAATCGATAATTTGCCCGAACGAAAAGGCTTTTTTAGTAAGTGTGACAGAGTCACTTATACAGTTCCTTAAGAGACATATATCGTTTTATTATGTTTTTAGTTACACATTTGTAGTTTTTTTTATTCTTTTGGCTTATTTTGCAATTCTGTATACGTGAGTAGATCGGTTTCCGCTTACTGTCTAGAAAGGCCACCAATCCTATTCGTTAATCAAATTCCCTGTTCAGTTACTTGGTATAATCACGTAATTGTGTAGTCTTACTTATCTTTTAGATATGCGTAGGATTGGTATTTTCTTGGGTTTGTTTTTCCTGTGCGCAGTTTTTGCTATCGTGTTTTATCTTTCTCTTTCAATAGCTGTGGTCACACTACAGACTTTTTACGTAGGTAAACACGACTTGTTGACAGTTTACCTAGGGAAACTTTATTTCTTAAGTGTGACCGATTTTTCCCTAGGTAACTTACCTCGGGGAAATTTTATCGTCTGGGTCTTGGATATGTCTCGAAAACAATAGAGTTTCCCTTGACAGCTACCCCAAAGCAATAGCTGGGGAAAAATGAAATACCGAGGTTGCTAGCCAATAGAAGCTCATCGGCGAAGGTCTTGATAACAGAACCGGACATAGATCACGCTGTGAAAGAAATTTTGGGAGCACGAGTCGTCTACCTCTTCGCCTTTCTTCACCTTACATGTTGAATTAACGTAAGAAATAACAGCGAGATAAAAGAAAAAAACATCTCTTTGATCGGCTAGATCCCTACGCGTTTTGCCTTCTTGAATTTACGCTCCAAAAAATTCAACTGGCGTGAAAACTTTGGGAGCCGATATCCGGTAGTGTGACCTTCCCAGAATTTTTCACCTAGGTAAAACTAAACCCGAGATGAATTTACTTAGGCAGATTTTTGATGAATTTGCCCTAGGTAAATCGGTTTTACCTAGGTAAAAGTCTGTAGTGTGACCACAGCTAATATCTATTTTTTGCAAGTTAGGCGTGACTTGGGCGTTTATTTTAATCCCTTCTAATCAGGATGTGATGTATCTGTTTTATGCTTTTGACTCGTTTCCTGTCACATAAGTATCTGTTTACTTACGTATAAATACGACTATTTTTGTCTAGTTTCCTCGAGTTGAGTTAGCTCGGCTAGTAAGCTTTGCTATTTAGCTGTGGAGCTTAACTCCCCAGAAGGTCTCGACCTCTGGTAATTTTTGTGCAACATTTCCTTATTTCGTTGTTTCATTCTCGCGCTGTATTAATATATTTAATTTTTTTATTAGCTTTTACCTCGTTTTGTCGTTAACTTTGTTTGCAATTAGGTTTTCGTTTTTCTTTTGTAATAAACATTCATTTAAGCCCACTCCTTGCATCCAAAGGATTCATGTCGTTGTACCACTGCTCTTTGGCCTCCGGCCGTTGGCTGCTTTGAACCACTCGCGCCGCTCGGTTACATTAGGCTAATTTAAAAAGCGCCGTCACTATGAACTGCAATGTTATGAAAATCCCATGAAAATGTCATTAAAAACCCAGGAAAGCATTTTTCAGGGCCCTGAATACAGATATTTCATTTTCATTGCCTATTTTTCAGGCCATGAATTTTCTATGAAAAGTTAATAATGGTTTTCATGGCTCATGAAATTGCCATGAAATATCTGGCACTAGGGTTCATGAGCCATGAAAAGTTGGTGTGTTATAGATTCCATGGGCCATGAAAATTACACTAAGAGATTTCAGGGGTCGTGAAAAAAATAGAAATGATAATTTCGATTTCATGGGTCATGAATATACCATTAAATATGTGCCATGTTGGGCCATGAAACCATATACATTGATTTCATGGACCATGAAAATTCTAAGAAATCAGTTCCCTAGATAGAATCACACCCCGAAATATATAAAAATACTGTATAACATTAAGTGACTGCAACATTAAACCTCAGAATCTTTGGCCATGTTGTACCATGAAGGACACTCTTTGCTTTTAATGCTTTACAACCGCTATTTTTTCACAAAGAATGACACATTGTCAGTTTCCACATATAACTAACAAAAAATCTACAAAAGCAGTCATATAACTACGATGGCTGGAATACCCGAAATTCACATACCTCTACGGATTCTGGGATTTCTGCTGACGTCAGAATTTTGGGGACTGGATTAAGGCGGTTTGCACTGGTTATTTTTGCTAATTAATTGGACCAGAGGGGGGAAGCTACTTCCCATACATTCTCTTAAATGAAATCAAAACGATGTTCTCACAACTTGCAAAGCAATCTCTCAGGAAATTGTCAGCGGATACCTCTACTGCGCATGAGCAATATGACGCAGATGGCAACGCAAAGGTTAAAAAGCATGGCGGAGCGAGGTTGAGGGATCGCTGCTGTTTACTAGACGTCTTGGCCTGGCTATTTATTAGAAATTTAAGATGATCTTCCTGTTTTAACCTTAAACGTGGATAAATGTGTGCGTGGAGGTTATTTTTGTCGAGATGCGGTTTCTGTTTTGAGATCCAGGTAGGCAATTTGTAAATAAATTCAAGCATAAGTCTTTCAATTTATCGATTTTAATAAAATCTTGCTGTCAACATGTATTGACTCACTACACACAGCTGAATAAAAGGAAACTTTTAATTAATTTTCGTTCTTCTTTTGAGGGGTAAATGTAAGATTTGCGATAAAACAAACGTTAACTACACGTGGATAGCAACATGCATATTTTGCGTGACAGTTATAAGCTTACTTTAATATTGGTCAACTTCTCTCTCGGAAAGCTGATTCCTTTCACTCCACTGCCTATACTAGTGTTCCATGAAACTGTGCCAAGTAGGCTCTTATTATCAAGTATCAATTGTTATTTTTTGAAACTGGATTGTATGAAATTATACCCGATATATTCACATTGATTGTTTGAGTGACACTCTTTAAATGACTCAGTGTGTTTGAGGTCTAGTATTGGTCAGAATGAAGCCAATACAATCAAATTGAGGTTGAACAGCTTATGTAGCAAAATAATATTGTTTTAAAATTTTGTATCCTTTGTGAAATAAGACTACAATATTAGAGCTTGTTGAACATTAACAGTTTAAAGCTGTAAAACCAGTCTTGCCCCTGAGGTCTGATGGCTGTTGTATATTTATGCATAAACGCTAATTGTCAAATCTTGTGAGAAGGCAATGTATTGGTTTTCGGTTATATTTCCTTGTCCTTTGGTCCTGACAGCCCAACCTTGTCAGCTAGTCAGCAACGAGAGTGAGAGAAAGGACATAACCAGCCGGCTAGGTCTTGTTACTGAACTGTACTCTAACATTGGGTCTCCACTTACATGAATATAATCATTTGCCTATTATCTCTTGCTTGCTTACTGGCAAATGCCTACCTACATTCTTGTCTAAGGTCAGGTCTAGTGCATATGAATATATAAAAACAACAAGCAAACAACCAGGCGTGTAAATGCCCAAAACAGCAGAGCCTATTTGCAAATATACTTTCATCAGTCCTTATACAGCTGTAGCATTTTCCTGACACATGGCAATTACAGAACTTGAGAAACAACCACAAATAATTTTCCAGGGCTGTCATTAACATTCCTAATTGCTCAGTAAAGAGGGGATCAAACGGCTAGGCATATTGTTTGGTTCTATTTTGTCCACTAATCAAGTCTACCTGAATTCCTATTTTAAACTGCACGTCAATGAGTCTTTTTGAAACGAGATTATGTAGATTGTATTATTTGGCTGCCAATATTTTGCCAGTTTGGAACTTCTTTGGTTGGAAAGTGTAATACAAAAATGTAGTTTCAAAAACACATAGAACATTTCTATGCTGCTAACAAGAAATGTGCAAACTCTTGTCTTCGGGGAAAGACTGAAATCCTTGGAAAATTTACTGGAAGTAAGTACTTCTTTTCATTAAAACATGCATGACTCATGACTCTCTGACACTAAATTCTGACAAATACACTTTTCACATGTGCTATTTTTTACGCGGAGGTGTCAGCCCACTATTTTCCAGGAGGCTTTGGTGCTATGTTCTTGTGTGTTGTTTTTGTTTAGGTGACATCTTCTGACTGTACTTTTGCAGTGTGTCATTGTCGTGCACTTTTTCATAAAAAACCAAGGAAAGGAACCGTCCATGTGAAGAAAATGATGGTCCACCTGCTAAGAGAGCATTTCCACTGTTGTTAAGTCCATCATGAGTGTACCACCCTGTTCCTATATTCCTGGTGTTAGTCTCCTTCACGTACACAGCACTCCAGTAATGGCTCCTTGCCCGACTGTAATAAACAAGTCCTACTAGCTGGTAGAAAATCCCTCTAACAACCATATTTTCTTCTAGGTGGGCCATCATTTTTTTTTACAATTTCCAGGACAATTACTTCTGGCAGCCTTTCGATTTTTGTGTTGCATGAAGCTGGTGAATTACACCGTACACATTCAGTTATGTCTCCATCTGTTGCAACATCTCTCAGCACCTTGCTGCACGAAGCTCATAGCCAAGTTGTGCCAGTGTCAGCTACGAGATGTTGGAAATGCTTTGTAATGATTACAGGGCTCTTAGTGTCTTTATTGTCAACTCTGTCCTCAGGTATGAAATTTTCTTCCACTATTCTGTAAGTTGCCTTTAACATTTCTTTTGCAGGGTGGGCATGGTCAGCATGGCTTAAACATTGTTTGCTTGTTTTAGTGGAAAATCTAAGGAATGTGCTTTCACTGTCAGATAGTTTTTGTCTTATGGCAGGTAAGATAGCCTCTATGGAACATTGCTTTCCAAGACCATAGTACATCCTACCATTTTGGAGTGCTATTCTGCAACCAAGTCCAAAGTTGCATTTTACTTTCATGAAATTTTCCTTCCTTGAACCTTTGATGCATTTCCTTGAGTGTCTTCATACAGCGTGATTCACTTATAGATGTAATTACATGTAGGAACGGTGGATTTCGTATAAAAATTTCATTTAAAATCACCAACAGTGCGTCCTGGTGACAGGAATTAAAAATACCACCTGATCCATTCCTGAATGATGGGAATTCTTTCAATGGTGTAGCTGTTGTTATAGCAGCAGGTGTGGTTGAGGGTGTAGGAATAGCTGTGAGTCTGGCAGTGGGTGTAGCATCAGGTGTAACTATGGGTGGCTTTATCTTTGATGATGCTTGAGCTTGAAACACAAGAGATCGTCGTGTTGCTGTTTGTTTCCCTTTGCACTTATCCTTGTTACAGACTGTCAACAGCCTGTGGCATTTTGAACAATGCTTTGCTTTCTGTTTACAATTGTTGGCCTCTGGTTTCTTCTTTTTCTTTGCCAGGGATTCAACATTCTGTAGCTCAAACTGTGAAAATTTTCCTAGACAAGATGTAGCACAGAGAGAAGGTACCTCAGTAAGATTTATTAGCTGGCTAGATTTTTTCTCAGCTTGCATTTTGACATCCAGTAATGTTGTATGTGGAGCACTTGGTGTTGTTTGTAGCAGCCAGAAGTGATTATAAGTCACATGCAGTAAGTTTTCTAGAAACTGATCGTCTCTCAAAATAAGGCATATTTGTGTTGTCTTTGGTGTCCATACAACAAGGTGGCACCATGAACTTGATGTGGTTAACATGTTAAGTTGTTTCTGGATCTAATAGGAGGGTGGTATGGTCTTTTAATGGCAGGGAAAACCACCTTTAAACGGACATTTATATTCTATTATACCTCTACCTTTTGTTGGGTGTATTCCCTTGCCATTCATTTCAACTAGATCATCAGGAGAACAAGCAATCATCTCTGTTCCTCTCCAATTAATTACCCACAGGCCAGTCTCATGAACCGTAGCACAAGGGTTGGTTTTCGCAATGTAATCAAGGTACGTAACTCTAGCATTTTCTTCACATAATGTTCCCCACTCCATTGCTAGTTTTGAAATGTTGCTGGGTTCTTCATCAGCATCATGTCTTTTACCATGCAGAGACAACCAATATGATGTGAACTCAGTTCTTCCATGTATGCCCAAGACAGTTCCCATTTTACTTGCATTGATGTACTTCTTTCTCTCATCAAACCATTCAGCTGATCGTTGTTTCAGGTAAGGTCTTTTGTCTGAGACATGCAGTGGGGCTTGCTGTAAATGCTTGTGACTGTGCTGATCGTCCAAATTCACTGTGGGGAGTGAGTTCACTATATTCGGCAAATTAGGTCTCTTTACAACATACTGAGAGCTTTTGCGTTTTACTTTCTTTTTGAAATGACAGCTTTCTGCAAGATGACCCAGACATCCACACTTGAAACAGGTTTGATTTGCTAACCATTCAGGATTTGGAGGTTGACTACATTCTTTAGCCCAGTGTCCTAGCATCCCACACCTCAAACATACATCACTTGGCTGTGCTTTTTCATCCGTTTTGTGCTCTAATACCTTCTTTTTACTCAATATGCGCTGGGTTTAGAATTATTAAAAGAGGGGCTTAGTCCATCTTTTGCCAAATAGGTCACACATCTTCGCTTGAGAAATTTTGTCACATACATTAACATGGCCTCTTCTGTACCTTCATTTCCACCACAGATAAGTTCGGTCAAAGCTGTCCACCATGAGATAACAGCATCATCCTCAAAGACTCCATCCATAGCGGTAATATATGATGTCTCGCAATACCCAGGAGTTTTAAAGTAGTTGGTTCTGATATTTCTGTCGAGCAGAATGTTAACACTTTCTTGTTGTTATGATCCTTCAGGGCTGCAATTGTGTGAACTGTTCTGTTCAGTAAAGCCTTGGGAAGAGCATGATCAATTATTTCCAGTATTGCAGTACACTGATTGATGAGTTGAGCTCGGTGATGTGGATCAATGGAATAATGTGTTGGCAAACTTGTTAGGTGAGAAAGGTTGACAGGTTTACCTGAATTCTTCAAAAAGGATGTGTTGATCTTACAAAGGAAGTTTTCCTTTCTTGAATTCTTGTTAACATGTTGAGTGTTGGAGTCCTTCAAACCATTCTTTATGTTGCATGGCCTCATTTCAAGTGCTGGGGCATCATATGAGGATGATGAACCTTCCATCATACCCAGTTCATTGGTTATGTGAAAGTCAGTACACAGGGTTTTTCTAATTTTAAAAAAGCGGAGAACAGTTGGTTATGCTTCTCTTCCTCTAACAAGACAGAAATAGTTCTCTACGTCATCCTGACACATGCTTTTTGGTACAACATTTATTTCTGGGTAGTTTAAGCTAATGTATCCTAGCGTACCAATGATGCCTTTAATCATTACCAACAAGTCTTGATATGTTTTCCTTGGTATAAACTGTTTCCATGCTTGCTTATTTTGAGGTTTTGTTGCCTCTTCTTGTATTTCCTGAAACCATGATTGAAACCATCTCAAGACAGTTATTAACTCTTTCATATATGTTGTAGAGAGGGTTGTCGAGTTCATTATTGTGAACAACTTGTCACACATTCTTATGTATAATCTAGTCTGTTCAGTTTCACACAATGTAAATGGAAAATCCTGACGTTCCATTGCCTTTGCAGTTTCTTCACTCAGCACCTCTCTCGCATACTTAACTTTCATTTTAGTTCTGCTGTCTAACAGTGTATGTTTCTCAGAAATTTTTGTGTCTAAGTATTTTGATACTGAAACTATGTGATCCCATGAAATGCTTTTTCCTTTTCTTCTTAAGTTGTAGTTAGGATTATAGAGGAAGTTCCTTAATTTCTTGATCATGTGAGGAAAGTCAGAAATCCAATGTATGTAACCCCCAGTTACCACATTTGGAGTTACCCAAGGGGAACTGTCACTTGACCTGTTGAAAAACTTTGAATTCCAGGGTCCTCCATCACACACTCCATAAGCAATAATAATCTTGGCGCATGATACTTTATCTAAGGCCCTTACCAAAGGCCATAGCATATTTTTGTCAAGTTTCTCTGCAGTAACACTATATACAGGGAATGAAGCAACTGGCCGTGCAAAATCACCCTCGAGACTAGTAAGGAAGAACTGGCATATTTGCCTTGCTTTATTCTTCATATTATTCGACCCTGATTCGGCGTCTTCATAATATGTGTCTTCTTCATCTAGGTACTCCTCCTCCTCCTCTTTAGTTGTATCTATAGGGGTATGTTGTTCATTGTCAGAAGCTGTTACTGAGTACTCCTCAGAGTCGTCGTACTGGGCTTCAGTTTCTCTTTCGTATTCCTTAGGAGTACTGAGGTCTTCAAACCCCACTAATTTCCCTGTTCTTCTGCACAGTCGGATGCCATCACGAATCTCCATTTCGTCCCAGTATAATCCAAAAACCCCTTTCACTTCTTTGTTGTTTATTTCCTGCCAGCAGAGTTTAAGATTGTTCATGTCTATGGGAGTGACATCTATGTCAGCTTGTCTATATCCTTGAACAATTCTCCAGGAAGGTAAAGGTAACCACTTTCTTATCGCTTCATAACCTTTTGCTTTACATTTCACCGCTAAGGCCACAGCAAACTTAATAGTCAGTGCATCCCAACGCATCCCCTTTGGTTTAGCATTATTCCCTTGCTTTTTACTCGGATTATGCATTAAGTTAAGTTGGGTTACTGCATCTTGCATGAATGTGTACAGAAGTGATTCTTTCTTTAAAATGTTATTTTGCACAGCAAATTGTACCATCTGAGTCAAGTCATCACTAGAAGGATTAAAGTTGTTCACACGTATTTCTTTCTTTTTCTTTAAAAGTTTTCTCAAGTTCCAGTTTTTCTCCCGGAGTTTTTTTATTTCTTTGCTCATGTTTCTTGCTCTTTCAAGCAGCGTTTCGTTAGTAAGGAGGGATAATTTAACTCTGCTGTTGGCTTTTGTCTGGTTTGTTGTTTTAGTATTGGATTTGAAGCGAAGAGAGTTATTCAACAGTTTTTGGCAATTTGCGCACCATTCTGACCTTCCTGTGTTCTTAGTAATTACCAGACACTGACCCGAAGAGCGCACGGTTTCCCTTATAATTTTACCGGTTATGGGATGAGGGATTGCCCATTGAGAATCAACAATGAAGTTACAAGTGGTAGTGGAAAGTCTTTCTTTGGCATAACTTAGAATTTCTCCATCGTAGATTCCGCAGCATATTTTAATCATTTCAACTTTACGCATGACACTTAATATGTTGTCCGCAAGTTGTTCCGATTCCCCTGCTTGAATTTGTCCTTCATGCCAATGGACCTTTTGGTTAAGTAATTCTACACTCAAATTACCAGTTCTAGTAATAAGAATTTGTCTCTCGTTGGCATTTTGTTTTCCTTCTCTCACAGGACAAAAAGACAAGCGTATCGTTCCATCGCCAGCAATGGAAAAAGACCAGTTTTGGGGAAGTCGATTGATTAGTGAAGCGAATAATTGACCAATGTTCTTAGGATCGAAGACTCTTTTGGAAAGGACCTGATCTCCCTTTGGGTTTGAAGCGTTTTGTACAGTTTGTTGTTTTAGGCCTTGGCTACATGAAAAACAAATAAAGTTTTGTTCCAAATAAACTGATTGGTTATCATCAGTGTAACTCGCAGATTCCCCACTGCTACACGTTACATGGAAAGTTTTATCTAAGTAGACTGAGGTGTGCTTTGAACATCCATATGGTCTAAGACACTTGATTTGTTTTTGGCATGAACTACATGGAATGTATTTGATTTCAGGTTCTCCACAGGCTCCGTGATTTTGTTGATCCCACATAAAATGCTCATGACAGACATTAAAACTGTCGTGTTCCTCATTGATTTCATAGCTACCCTTACAGCTAATTAAGAGGTGTCCACCTGCTTCACTTTTACAGCCAGCCAAGCAGCACAGCCCGGTTCCCCCGCGTAACCGCAATTGAACATCGATGATAGAACAGGGAGTAATTCTTTCCTCTCTAATGGTCATGTTATTATCAATGATTCTCCCATTCAATGTAAGATAGAAATCCTTTATCAGAAATTCGGCCTCTGTGCGTTTTGATAGTGTTTCAACGCTCATTGAAGGCTGGACGTTTTTGTAAGAAGCAATCTTGCCGTCGGACAACCTAACATAAATGTCGAACATTTCTTCACCTGCATCCTTTTCATTGCAAGAAAACTGTATTTTGGCCTGTAAAGTTTCACACCTTTTGTTTAACCATTTCCTTAGCGATCTTATTGGCTCCAGGCAGCAGCACAACCCATTACTTACAGTGCATAGATTATTTTGCATATGTTCTGTGTTCAGCTTTAATTGCTGAAGTGTCTTAGAACTTTCTTCAGATGAGTCTATGGTCATTATGTTTAAAAACTGAAACTCTAAGTTT